ACAGACCAACCGCAAAGCAGCCAATAGCGCCATTCGGGCGGTGGAGGACAGGTGGAATTGCTGATATAATCAAAACTGTGCTTTCCGACGAGCGCAATACCAATCGAGTACATAATCGTGTTGAAGCGACCCAGATATTGATCGGCAACATAAGCACCAACCAGTGGCATGATGTAGGACCAAAAGGAATTGACTGCATACAGAGGTCAGCCAAACACATGTGGATAGGATATTGTTTTGCAAGGGCCATTACATAGAGTTAGACCAGTGGAAGCTCGTTGTCCCAAGCCTAATGCACCAGGGGTGCGATCAGTACCACCAGCACCAGTCGTAGAGCCCTCAGGCATTTCCCGCTGTATGAAGTTGACAACTGTATGCGGGAAAGTAGTGTTAGTCTATGACAGAGCTATCAAGCGAGCTGGGTGGTTAAAACTCACACACGATGATGGTTCCATAGTAGGAGAATCGTTCACACAACTCGACGAAAGCGATAGAGAAAGAAATCCACGGAATCTTTCCAGGGACACGGCGGAGAGTTGCTACTTCGTCGGGCGTGGGAGCCTGTCGATTGATATCGTCAAGGCTGCCATGCGAGCTGTTATAGACAGCGGCGCCAACTGTCTTCTCGTTGCCAGCAACTGGGACTTTATCAGATGCACCGCTGCTAGCGACATGCTGAACCTCAACTTCTTGGGAATTAGCCATCCTCGCGATTGTGTGAAAACCAAGTTGAACTTGGTAATTTGGATGTCACTTCGCGGGCTAGGCGTGAGAAGAGAAAAGAGGGAGGGACAAAGGTCTTGGTTCACGAACGAGGGTATATGCCGATATATGTAGGAATCTTAGACATTGTCTCCGGACAGTCGTTGACAACCTCCAGATTTCGCTTAGGGTCCCCATGGGGAGGCGGTAGAGGGGTTGCAACGCTGTCTCGTCCCCCCTCATCAATTATGAGTAGTGGTGCCAATCGGGTCAAGGTCAACAAGGGTCATTAATTGGGGTTGAGACTAGAATGAGACCATGATCGATGTGTGGTAACCAAAGCAATATCAATCCATATTGCTTTTGGCTAGGGTCAGGAGAGCCTGAGCTCCTACCTGTCCCTCTCGTGTTGACATGTACCGCTTAACTGAGGAATAACAAAATCAGCTAGTACAGGATACTGTACATCCATACAACGTCTGATCCAGCTGAGAAACTCCGTATGCTGCGAAATGTTTTGGTTTTATGCGCCAACGCGGAGACCGCTGGCCAATCCACTCGGAGGAGCTGTTGTGAAGCTGAACTTAAAGGGTACACCTTTTGTGCTGGTATCAAATGTGGGAGGTTATGTGCAGTTCAGCAAGTTGAGAAGTAACCGTTCGACCAGAGGTAACTGCCAACTGACAGCAACAAAAGCAGAAGACAGTGGCAATAATGACTACATTACGGAGTACTTGGTGGGACGTTGAGAATGAATTGGGCTTACCTTCCTGTAATGGACGACCAGTTAAGGTTGGACCAGGGAGATCCCCAACTTAAGTCGCAACCGTGAAAATCGTAGCTAAGTCTATGGTTTGCCATTCCAATGTCCCACGGACGAATAGTAATCTCCGAAAATGTCATTTCGGGCTCGGCATATGAGCAGGGCAGCACATTGACTGCCTTGTTACTTTCCGGACTGGAGATTCCATATGCACCAAGTACATGGACATGCACAAGAATTCCAAAAGTAGCAAGATATATCTCCACCAGGAATCTTCCCTAGAGCTTGGCTGCATTTTTGTACAAAGTATCAAGATGCCGAGTCAAAGCGCGGTGTCGTGAAAAAAGCTTGCTAGGGAACCTCGCTTGCCAAGCTACAGAATACCTATTTTGATAGAATTGGTTAATATGATGTGAGACCTAGCGATAGGATGATTATGTTCAATCGACTTTTTGGAGCCTGCTTCGCGTTGGACATTTCGCTTCCCTGCGGTTAAAGACTGCAGTTGTGTTGTCTCAGGATACTCGCGGTTGGGCTGTGGCGGAAAATGGTGTCCCTCCCCCTGGAGTCTTGGCTGGCATGCTCCGTTGTAACCATAGTCAGCCAGACATGTGCTAACTCGGAGGCGGGATGTCAGAATGCAAGTTATTCGCCCGCCGTAGATATCTCGATGACCATGGGAGGAATTAATCGGGAACGACAAGAAGTCTGCCTGCCTATTCATGCCATCATCATCTTCTAATACGCAAAGGCTCTGGGTCCGGAATCCGATGTATTGAGATTATCATTACGGTGGTTGAAGAAGAGGAGTCGAGAGTCGTTGAGACTTGAGGCTTGAGGCTTGAGTGCGGGTGTATGACGCCCAGTGATCGCCGTCCCGCCAGGGCCCATGCGGTTTGGGATCGTGATTGGGCGCCGGGCGGGCTCCTAATTGCTTGGCAGACATGCTTATCCCAGATTTGCCAGGAGATAGTACGCTGTAGATGGGCGCTGGCTGAAAAAGCGGGGGAGAATGGGAGAAACAGGAATATGTCAGCGACAGAATATGCATGGAAAGTGGTCTTGATTCGTTTCAATTTCCAAAACATCCGCAGTTAGATGACCCCTGGGTAGCGCTTATGCCTGATGATTTTTATCATCCACCTTCGAAGCGAAATGTGGAGGCGATATGAGGCATGTCAGCATCGACAATAATAGTGGCCACGATGGGGAATAATCAGGAAGTGGATGGTTACAGAGCCATTTCTCTCATCGCCACAAGGTGAAAATTGGGGCACACATGGTGACCTACATCGAGGAATTAAAGGCGGTCTGGCGAAACAATCTCAGAGGCCGCATGGGGGATTCAGTCCGAGATCCCAGAATCCCGGTGGTTCGGGGCTCGGGCCGTCTTCGATGGAATGCTCCAAGGACTCA